TAATAATAATAATAATAATAATAATAATAATACGATTAAATATAGCCAGTAAACTGTTTTTTTCTAAATTAGTAACAAAAACAAGTTCTATAATCCTATCGTGTTCTAGGATTTTCTGGTTGTTTAATAAACAGCGCCATCTTCTGGTGTTTCGAAAGTTATATTCACTCTTGACATTCAAAATAATTAACTTTTTTTGCAAGTTAACTGTAACCTGTCGTGTTCCATGGTTAGCTAACACCACAGGTACAAAATTATAATAAAAATGAATAAAAACAAATTACACATGAAGTAAATGTGCTTTTGAGCTTCTTTAAAATGCTCTCGCGATACTTTCAACACCCTTTTCTCGCGATATTTACAGAAGCAGTGTATTTTTATTTTTTTTTTGGATATCCGTGTAACATGGATCTGGTGACAAACTTGTGATGTCACCAAACCAGCATCGACAGTCCACCGAAAATCAGCACTGCCAGTTGCTCTCATTCTTCCTTGGAAAAGACTGCTCAAACAACAGGGACTAGACAAACCAGATCCGCCGCTCTCTAATACAACGTAAGCTTTATTTTTTTGTCGGTAAAACAACAGCTTATCTGCTTTATTTTTATAGAGTTAGTGTAATTTTTTGGGGCGTACACTGTACTAGGTTATATATATTATTCACTTTGTCAACATTGCGAATGAGCGCTAAAAAAAATTTCCATTATGTATGTTAAATTTTAGTGTGCTGCCCAAAGCGCCTGTCTACAACTAATATTTTACGTATTCTTTTTGAGAATAACATTCGCTTGTAATCACTGTTTATCTTCAGCAGGACTTGATAAGGATGGAAATAAATTAGTATCACAATGAAAACTGAAAAGCGACTGTGGATTTTACTAAAGGAAAAAAATAGTAACCTAAAGTTAAAAAAATAAATAAATAAAATTCATGTAGTTGATCAATAATTAAACCATAAGAAATCCTCACCATAAAGTTTATTAAATAGTTCTAATTTTCACCAAAAGCTCTTCCACTGATTGCTTACATATTTCGTTACTATAATATAGGCATGTTGGCTGGTTGCTGCTGACTAATGATTACTGGACCTAAAGTGTTTTTTTAAGACAGAATGCGGTTTGACTTCTAGTGAACTTTGGACAGCAAGAAGCAACAGTGCAGCGTGGCACTTATGTAACCGTGGCTGCCTCCATTCCTCCCTCATAAACCACAGACATTAATCTCATCTAATTTATTTTAACGCTTTTATCAGTGGTTCTATAAACATGATATTTACCTGAACTGAGAGAAACCTTATCTAAACTATTTACAAGGTAAATTTGAAGCTAATGTATCATTGTAAGCTAGGATAAACTGTATGCGCAAACCGGTTTATTTGCATGTATTAGTTTATATGTGGTTGGTAATAGGGTACTGCATTTACACTGAGAAAATATGCAAATACTACTTTTTATTATGTGTGGTTTTCTCTTGGTGAAATGTCTGAAATCAATTTATCATCATCATCGTCATCATCATCATCATCATCAAAAACTACTCTACAGATAAATGGAGTGCAACATATTTTGAGAAATTCAAGAAAGAACTGAAATGGATGACGGTCAACCAGGAACAATTGTGGGTGGGATTACAATAAATTTGAAAAGTTAATTTACTTTAGAAATTGAATTCACGTCATGTATGTATTCAATACACTCGGTGATACATCCCACAAGGTTTTTTCTGGTTTATTTTTTATAATTGTGGCTTGCAGCTATCAAAAACTGAAGTTCATTCCATTGAAAATGTAAATCTTAAATTCTATTGAAAAGGAGATTTTTAAGACAGAAATGACTTGTTATGGCTGTCCTAATTCTTGCACATCCGTGAGGAAAACTGCTGACACGAATGTCATCCAACAATCAGTAAGTGTACACCACGAATGATCAAAGATTAGCTGGCTGTTCATGGAGCATATTAGTAGAAAGTTGAGTGAAAGGAAAAGTGCCATACCTGGACTAAGGAGAAACCGCCTAGATGACCTCTGGACAACTGGGATGTTGTCCAGAGGTCCAAAGTTCTCGTTTCGTATCGTATGAAGGTAAACTTTGCATTTTATTTGGAAATCAAGGAGAGTCTGGAGGATGAGTGGAGAGGCACAGAATCCAAGCTGCTTGGGGTCCGGTGTGAAGTTTCTATAGTCAGTGATGATTGGAGAAGCCATGTCATCTACTGCTGTCATTCCACTGTGTTTTATCAAGTCTATCTATCTGGAAATCCTAGAACTTTTTATGCTCCCTTTTACTGACAAGTTTCATTGAGATGCTGATTTTATTGTCCAGCAGAACTTGCCAATATTCCACTGCCCACTTTAATGGTCACCCTGTGTTTTGATGTGGCTAGCAAGCTGCTCTGACCTAAACCCGTACAGCATCTAGGGGTAATTGTCAAGAGGAACATGAGCGACACCAGACCCAGCAATGTAGATGAGCTGAAGGCCACTATTAAAGCAACCTAGGCTTCCTAAATACCTCAGCAGAATCACAGACTGATTGCCTCCTTGCAATGCAGCATTGATGACATACGTAGTCATACTTTTCAGTAATCTGAGATTTCGGTATTGGTTGTATGTCGTATTCTAATTTTGTACATTTGAGTGGGGTGTACAAACTGACTCATGGTTGGAACAAAACATCATCACAAAGAGTTTGGCACTCTTTGAGTAATCAAAATGACAAATGTACAAATGTGGTACTTGTCAGAAAAGGTTGGAGAACCATTGGCTTATGTTGCAAATTTACCTCTTGCAGGCCAAGATGTCCCTCTCCGGCTGGGTGTGTGTAGTTACTGGTGCCTCCAGGGGCATCGGCAGAGGAATAGCACTCCAGCTGTCTGAGGCCGGAGCTACTGTCTACATCACAGGACGGCAAGAGAAAACCCTCAAACAAACTGCTGCTGAGGTGAACTTTAAACCTTTCTTTTTCTTAAATGAAATCAGATTACTTTGCAAGTCAAGCTTTTTGCACAATACTTGTCGGTACGTTGTATTTTTCTGACGCCCTTAATTATAATGTAGGTGACTGAGAGAGGTGGGAAGGGCGTTCCAGTGATCTGTGATTCCACAAAAGCGGAAGACATCAAGGCACTTTTTGAAAGGATCAAACAAGAGCAGGATGGCAGACTGGACATCTTGGTGAACAATGCCTACGCTGGAGTTCAGGTTTGTATCAATAAAACACTCATGAAACAGTTCTTAGTATTAAATTACAGAAGTCATATGTGGAGGATGTATTCCACATATAATTTCACCTGATGGCTTTGTTGAGATAACGAGTTAATTTTCCAATATTTTTGTTTAAGATCTCCAGATGATGGGTGTGTGTTAAACCTGATTCTGTCCTTCAAATGCATGCCGTAACAGCGAGAGTATACAAGTGTCATGTCTTGAATAATGCTGTGAATAAGTGAAGGATGGAATCAAGCTTAACATACACACCATGATCACGAGAAAACCATCAAGAAACGAACTTGTGATCTCGAGAAAACCATTGGAATAACTTGTTATCTCGATAAAACTGTTGGCAAATTAACTTGTGATCTTGAGAAAACCATCTGGAAAAAGTATATGCGGAAAACGTCCGCTCAAAGCTTCCATGTTAAATACAGATTTAAAATAGTGAACGTGATTTTGGTTGGCTTTTTTTTTTTTTTTGGGAAAAACAAAAAGTAAATGAATGAAAGGAAGTAAAGATTTGAACATAATGTGTTGAATTTAAATTGTCATTCCAGGATATTTTTGACAACATGGGTAAGAAGTTCTGGGAAACCGATCCGTCTATTTGGGATTCTATCAACAACACAGGCCTGAGGTACTGTTATCTGTCAGACACTCTAAATCATATTGTCCCACAGTCTCATCTTGCACATTTTCTTCTGATCAGCTATAACTTCAGTTGTTATTGTTATTTTTGTTGTGTTTTTTTAGGGGGCACTACTTTTTCTCAGTTTATGGATCTCGATTGATGGTGGCCCAAGGCCATGGATTTATAGTGACCGTTTCATCTATGGGCGGATTGCATTACCTCTTCAACGTAGCGTACGGGGTTGGTAAAGCTGCTGTAAGTTCTTCCACTTGATTCAATTTGCCATTCAGTTTGATATCAAAATGCACAGTTTGTCTTATATCTCATTACTGTCATGAAAACCTGTTTTTGTTTTGTGTTTTTCCAGTGTGACAGGCTGGCAGCTGACATGGCGGTTGAGCTGAAAAGCAGAGGAGTGACCTCCATCAGTCTGTGGCCAGGACCGGTACAAACAGAGCTTATATCGCAGCTGATAATACAGAAAGATGCACCGCAGGGTTTGAATCCCAAGGTAGGCCACCATTGGATAGCGAGTCTATTTGCATAAATGGTCAATTTCTAATTCTGTCTTAACTGTTGACTTTGATTTTCCTCAGTATAAAGATGTGTTCGCCAATGGGGAAACTACAGAACTAAGTGGGAAGTGCATCGTCAGCCTGGCTAATGGTGAGTTATCATTAAAGATCTCAAAAATGTATAGAAGCAACTTTTTCTTAATCGGTAAATGTGATTGAGAATTTTGCATGATAGAGAGTGCAAATATCACCATGTCAGGGTGTGTGATGCTGATTGTCTCCTATCAAAAAGACTGAATGAGGCAATTAAATCAGAAAGTGTTTTAACAAAGTATTTACACTTATGTTACCATGTTACTCCCCTTGTTTCATGTTCCCCCAGATTTTGTTTTGTCACGTTGAATTGTACAGGACATGTTACATTGAAGGTGGAAGAAAATGATTGGTCATAATCAAATTTTTAAGTCTCAAAATCTGGAATTTTAACAGAGGTGCACACTTAAGCCAGTGTAAATTAACATCTTACACAGATGGATTGTTTTAAAGCTGCTTTTGTTTTTGTCTGCTAGATAAAAATCTGATGTCCCTGACTGGGAAGGTGCTCATGACGTGTGACCTGGCCAGACGATATGGCATTAAAGATGTTGATGGTAATACTACTAACAGTCATACAACAATAACCACCTGCCTAGTGGTCATGATACTCATTTCATCCTGTTAGTCAACAGAGTAGTCTGCAATAGTTCAAAGAAAAATATGTTGTCTTTTTTTTTTTTTCCCCCTTCAGGGCGGGATGTAACAGATTTTACGTCCCTAAAATTCCTCCTGACCCAGGTCCCGTACCTCTCCTGGCTTTCAGCAGTCATCCCCTCGTTTCTTCGCCTGCCTCGCTTTGTGCTCACGCTGGCTAACGGACGCTTCTGATGGGTTCCCTCATCACTCTCCACAACGCCATACTGTACAGTTTTAATATCTGTGCTAAGCAACTCCATGAATGACAAAAATTTTCCTTTTTTTCTTTTTTTTTTGGGGGGGAAAGACATAGTCTTGACTCAGTCAGATTGCAAATAAGGATATTATTTAATGTTGAAGATGTGCTAAAATTGTATCAGTGAAAAGGTCCACATGAAGTAAGCTTAACGTTAGCACTGATGTCAGCCAAAGGTGAACCTTCCCAATGTGATTGTAACAACACTAACTGTGCAGTTTAAAGAAGTCCTTTTGAACTAACCGCTGAATGTATTTCATTACTATTGTGGAAGAAAGAAAAACAGGAACTGGTGTTTCTCTGGGGTGTCAGACATGAGCTCCTTCTGCCTGAAGATGTTTGAAAGATAAAAATGTGAAGTTTAACCCAATCAGCTGAAAAGAAGTGTGATTTTACATTGAATGTAGAGTTTTAGTGTCATGTTTAGCCTGCTCTCATACTTAATCTCTGCCTTTACTGTTTTTTTTTTTTTTTTTTTTTTTTTTGATGTGCAGGCAGTCATTGTTTGTGCTTGATGTGTTTTTTTTTTTTTTTTTTTTTTTATTTGCTAATTTATTTCTGTAAACGGCCCTTATTTTTCCTCCGGGGGACA